AGGCTGTCCCTTTCCACCCGCCCCTCGTTTCCCACCGCTCCACCCCCCTGTCCACCCCGGACCCATATATACTTTTTTTTACATTAAAGAACTAAAAAAGAAAAAAAACCGCTAGGGCAGGCAAAATCCAGTAAAGAAATTTTCATTGATGTACCCCAGTGTTGAGAACAAAGCTAGATAATTTAGATAATTTATAAAGGCTAAATATGCTTATGTTTATAAATGTGCAGGTTCTACAATATTTTTTTTATGTTGCCTTTAAAAATAGTTTCAGAAGTAAAACCTTGAATACTAATGTCTTAGGGACCCAGAGATCAGGTTGGGGAAAGTGCGCTGCCAGTGGCGCCTCGGACTCGCCAGACCGGTTCGCTTCCTAGTTGGGCCTCTGGGCTCGGCCCTCGCTCTGTGCGTCCCTCTTGGGTCCAAGTAGCTGACACCTGTTTGAAAACGCGCCGCTCTCTGGAATGGGTGTTTTGTTCATTCGTAGGCAGGGCTCAGGGTGGAGGTCTATGTGCCTAGAAACAGAGATTGCGTAGGAAGGAATTGTATTGTGTGGAGGTCGGAAGGGCTGTCATTGCAAACAAGCCCGCGGACAGCCCCGTCTTACTCACATGGCCAGGTGTGTCTCAGTGAGGCCGCTTTTGAATCCGTAAAAACTGCTGTTTCGATAGCTTTACCTCGGCCCTTTGGTTCATCTTCTCTAAAGCTGCCAACTGTTTTAATAAATGAATCCGGTGCACTCGCGGCGGGCGGGGTTCCTCAGGCGTGTGCGACAGGGGAGCGCCTGCTCCGAGTGTTCCTAGGGGGCACGCAGGGTGAGTGGGCTGAAGAGCTAGGGAGACAGACGTAGACGTGGACCCCAGAGCAGTGATGTGTGGATGGTGCTGGGTGACCCTCTGCACAGGCCAAGCGTGATGGAGAGAAAGAGGGAGGTCTGGCTTCCCAACCTGTGGGAACAGATACCGGTCAAATCAGAGTCCCGTCAGAATGGCCCCCGAGCTCCCTACCCCCCACACCCCCAGAGCCAGGGGACAGCAGTGAAGAGAACCCCAATTCCTGCTAAGGGGACACAAGAGAAGACGGCAGAGGACACGGCTCAGGCTCAGGAGCAGCGTGACCCCTGGGCCTGCTTCTGACGCCCTCGCGTCCCTGCTCAGCCCCGGCCTTGCTCCAGGCCAGGGCAGACGCCTCACCCCCGCTCCCCAGGGCACTGGCGGGGCCTCTCCTTCCCCAGAAAACGCCCTTCCCGTCGTGTCCTGGGACTCGGTCTCCAGTCTCTCCCTCGATGAACTGGAGGATCGCAGGTGGGGAGTCAGGACAGTGGCTTGGGGAGCTTGACCCGTTTCTGCTTTGAGCAGCTGCGCCATCTTGGACAAGTCTGCCGCCTGCACTGTGTCTCCTGGCCTGTGAGCTGAGAGCTCTGCAGCGGTGGCCGCGAGGGCTCCCAGTCCCATGTGTCCAGTCTCGCTGGGAACCTGCTCACCTCCTGCCCCGAGAACTGTGGTCGGCAGGAGGTTGTCAGGGAAGTTGCTCCAGCCGCACTAGTAACACCGCCACGTGTGCGCTCCCACGCCAGACACCTGCAGGGCCGAACACGCTCGCTTCCCCCTTGGGACTTGCCCCTCTCTGCTCGCAAGGTCCGTGTTAGCGTCACGTCCTATTGAGAGGCCCCAGAGAAACAGCTGATAGGAGACACACACACGTTTCTGATTCTTATAAGGAATCGGCTCATGGCACCATTTGTAGGGCCGAGCAAGAGACCCGGGAGACTGTGGTCACCTCTGAGGATAGACCACCGGGGGCCAGTCCAGGGAGGAGGCTGAGGAGTCAGCTCAGCTTCAGGCGGAGTGGACTCCTTTCCTTCCATCCGAGTCCTCATAGAGTGGGTGCGGCCCGCACACTGGACAGGCCTCTGCCTTCCTCAGTCCAACAACCCACAGCTAATCTCGTCTGGAAGCAGCTCTCAGACACCGAATAACGCTAACCTGGCACCACAGGGCCCGTAGGGTGAACAGATAAGATCAGTCATCACGTTTCTCTAGAATTCAAGGGACTTGAGCACGACCCCAGCGGGGCCCAGCCGGCCCTGCCAGGACTGCTGGGGGCAGGAGGGCGGCATTTCTCCCGTCCTGTGCCTAACTTTTCTCCTCTTGCTTCTTTCCCACATCCCGCCTCAGCCCCTGCATTTCATGACCCCGCAGAGAGCAGTCCTATTTAGAAGGAATGTGGTGTGTCTGTTTCCCCGGCCGTGGGCGAGAGAGGTCATCTGCTCCAGGTGGCTGGCAGACCGCATCATTGCGTCCTGTTAGCCTTTCTAAACGTCACCTTTATTCTGCATATGGAACGTTTTCCGTCCAGGTGGTGGTTTTGGAGTCAGATCGGAATGTCTGTGTAGGTGGGTCAATGTGCTGAGAGCTAGGCCCCGCCCTGGATGCCCGGCCCAGACTCCTCTGCTCAGAAAGGACTGGCCTGGAGGCCCGAGGGGGCTGTGGTGTCAGCGCGGGGGCAGGATCACCTGCAGGTGCCCGAGGTGTGACGAGCATAGGACGGAGGGGGTGGCAGATGGTGAACGAATGTGCGTGTGGCTGAGCGGAGGCCGGTGGCAGGAAAAGGCCTCAGGAAGGAGAGCGGACCTCGCATAGGTGGCTGCGAAGGGTGGGTGAGGGTGAGACTCTGTTCTGGAGACGGAACTGAGTCAGGGCAGAAAAAGTAAGTGTCGTGAAGATGAAAGGAGGATATGTATGGAGAGAAGGAATTCTGGATGATGAAAAAGGAGACGTCAGGGGCAGTGTGAACAGAAGGGAGCTTTGCAGAGCCTCTGAGAGAGAAGTTCCTCGTGGGCGCGGCCCACAGTGCCCGGCAGGGAGGCCCTTTCATTCCCAAGGAAGCAGGTGGCAGAGGTCTGGGCGCCTGTATCCTCAGCTGCGAATCCATCAGCTCCGCCCGCAGTGGACCTGGTTCCCAAGAGCTGCCTGGGATGCAGACCTGGGCCTGGGGAGTTTGCAGACCACCAACCGGCTTTGCGTCCCATCTCTTGCTTCTGTTAAGGGATCACTGCTGGGCCCAGAAGGGCCACAGAAACAGGGAAGCATTAGGCTCGAGATCGGTCGACTCAGTCTCGTTTGACACCCACGCAGAGGTGGGTGCGGGTGGAAGCCCTGTGTCGTTCCCACTCCATCCAGGCTTCCGCACGAAGTGGAGCTCAGCCATGTGTTTTGTGTCAAAGGAGAACAGAGAAGAAGTTCCAAGGAAATATTCTAAAACAGAGTAGCATCTGCTTTGCCCAAAACTATAAAAAAAGTGAAGAAAATTATAGTTAAGCTTTAAATTATTCTTCAAATAGGACTGCTAAGTCCCTGATCCTAAGTTGAATTTAGTGTAGTCCTGCCCTCTTTGCCTTTCCGTGAGACCTCTGACCTCTGACCTGTGGCCTGGCAAATGGCAGGTCCCTGAATGCTTCTGGGAGTTACAGATCCTGGTGTATGTTGGGAAATCCTCCTGAACGGAAATTTAACATTTTTACGAAGCAGATGAATGTCTTTTCCACTTGGTAAATGCATTGGAATGCTTCCCAACACGGGAAGAAGCCGGAATGGTTAATGAGGACTGATTGCTGGCATTTTGAGTTCTCTGCTACAATCAGCTGCACTACTTGGTAGGTGATTCTTTCTAAAACTACTTATTTCAAAACATTTTAAAACTGGCAAGAAGTTGCAAAACTAGTACAGAGTGGCCTCACCCTAACACCAGGCTTTCCCACTGATAACATCTTACAGAACCATCACGCTTTTCCAAAGCCAGAAAACTGACATTGGTCTAGTATTATTAGCGCAACCACAGATCATACTCAGATTCCACCAGCTTTTCACCTGCACTGATTTGTTCTGGATGGGTTTAACCCTTGCTGGTTTGTAACCTGGCCTTGCTTGGAGGCCTCCAGAAAGACACCATCTGGATACAAATGTACAAACTCTTAAAGAGAATGTAACAAACTCACTTGTTCCTTTATCAATGAGCATTATCCTGCCTGGGCCGCGCACTTGCACGCATCTGCTGACTTTGCTTGGCTGTTTAGCATCTGGAACCATCAAGAACAACTTGGAAGAATCAGGCAACGCAGAGAACAGTGAAGACCTGACATGGCTTGCTGGCTAGCGAATCTATAATAATGAAAGTGTAATATGCTAATTAGACCGGATGTCTTTCCGGATGACCTTCTGGACGAAGCCAGGGCTGTGAGGGAAGCCTGGGTCCCAGGTGCCAGAGGGAAGGCCTACTCTTGCACGAATTTCGTGCATCGGGCCTCTAGTCAGGTATGAAGGGAAATCCAGGTGGTTCCTGCTGTTTCTACAGCAAGGAAGGATCGTAATTGTGGCAAAGAGAGCACTCCAGAGTGAACCAGTGTTTTGGTCAAGGAGTAGGTGGCACCGAGTTACGGCCCCAGGGCACCTTGTGGGAGGACTAGAATACAGTGGTATAGACCCTAAATGTGATAAACTATTTTCAGAATAGTAGAGGTTTCATTTGCCTAAATCTCTGTTCTGAAATGAAATAAACCACACTAAACCAAATTAAATACTAATTTCAGGGGGGAGGGGAGGGGTGGCTGGTATTGGGGCTCCAGCTCTGTGGCTCCCAGCTGCGAGGTTTGTGGCGGTGTCTGAAGTGCCCTGTTTAGGACTCACAAGATTGTAACTTGTTTACCACTGCGTCCCATATCCTGTAAAGTTCCTGGCCCAGACTCGCCTGCTGGGCACCCCATACATGCTTACTGAGTGTTGTTTTTGAATGAATCAAATATAGAAACAGAAACTTGTCAAACTGCATGACTGTGGTGAATTGGGGAGAACTGCTCTGCTGTGA